TGGTATTTTGGCGAAGGCTGCAAGGCGGCTGGAGTGGAGGTAACTTTTCTTGATCTACCTACTCTCGTGGAACTATCATTTGTATAACTAAATTTTACCCTACATTTGAACTTTATTCGTTTTTTCTTGAGTTTTTGTCTTTTTATGATAATGGAGGGAATAGCCTTTTTTATCGCCTTTATAATTATAATTTTGGATATCATTTTTTGTGGTAAATCCGAAATGAAATGTATTACGAGATACAGATGATGGGCATAGAGCATCAAAGCAGCCTAGACAAGAAGATGTTAGTGTTGGAGATACTTCTTCCGCTATTGCCTTGGAAGTAATGCCTAAATTAGGTCATTGCATATATACAGCGATATTCCGAAGAAGATTTCATATAACTGTTCCTGGCTCATGCAACGCCGGTTCAAAGAAGAGTCTAGTCATAAACACGTTTGCGATAGACCCCCTTGTATTGGGTTGGAGGAATGGCAAAATGATTCGGAATAATCTTTGGCCAGGACAAGGAACATTTCCTTATATTTTATTGGACTCACTTAACATACGCTTATCCAAGTTCGTACCTCTAATGCGAACAACACATGTGGGTGCGGCTACAAACGATAGCGTGACGTTTGAAAAGGCCAATACAATGAAATGCCTATATGTCCAAAAAATGAAAAGGAATTTGTTTTAGAATTGGTTTAATTCAATAGTGTGTACTCCTCCTTTAATGAATTTCACGAAATAGACCATGTCACCCTTATGGGAATGCAAGGCGAGTATACCTACCATAGGAAACTTCACAACGCTCCTATGCGCTATTACTATAGCAATTACAGGAAGGGAGTAAAGGATCCTGATGAAAAGTCTGTACCCAAGTTTAAAAGGTTTCCGATCGACTCGCATACTACTTCATGTTTCGGAGACGTTCTCAATGGATGGCACCCACCAACTTCCGATCAACCGTGGCTCATGCTAACGATGCCCGAGGTCGGAGCACTAGCGGAAAGTGCAAACAAGGTCAACATCTACGGTTCATTAATGATGGAAACTGAACTCAAAGTTCATTTCTTTACTGACCCACCCTACGGAATAAACAATGGACAGCGGACAATTGATCTTGAAGACCTGGTCTTTGACGTGGGCAACCACACCATAACAACTCTAACTAATTTACGAAAATGATTCAATAAAATATTTCTGTCCAAAAATCTTATTCCACTTCTCCTTCTTCATTTACTAGTGGCCGGGTGCTTTGTCATATCTTTTAGGTGTTTGGGTATTCCGCTTCCTTCTTCCAGCATGGAAGGAGTATGCGGGGGGGCACTTAGAGTGCTAAGAATACTAAGTACTATAAAGTATTGCCTTAGATTCCTTAGATGACCTTAGGTCATCCCCGCATACTCCTTCCATGCTGGAAGAAGGAAGCGGAATACCCAAACACCTAAAAGATATGACAAAGCACCCGGCCACTAGTAAATGAAGAAGGAGAAGTGGAATAAGATTTTTGGACAGAAATATTTTATTGAATCACAATTCATCGTGGCAAAGGGGTTTAGGGGGCTTATTGGTAACTAGAACAGATGTTGTTTGGGACATTAGCATGGGCTCCAGTGCTTTAATGTATTGTTTGAGAAGCCAATAGCTTGCGTTGGATTCAGCGACATGACCTCTGAGGTCACCGTCAAAAGTATTGTCTGGGTTATTAAGGTATTCTTTGAACTTTAGGTACTTTTCGCGGAGCCATTTTTTGCCATTACCAACTACCGCATCCTTAAATAAATTAACTCCGTAAAGAAGACATTCGTATTTGAATACATCAACAGCATATTTTTCAAGAAATTGAAAAAGTATGTCCTTGTCGGGATCCTCGGTCATTCCTATGGAGTGGCTGTATTGAGGATCTGCCCAGATTTTTAAAAAGAAAAACAGCATAGATGAGGCCTGGACTGACGGTTTAGTTATGCCTTGCCAGTTATTTTTAGAAGCATTAGTCCACGCTCCTCCCCATTCAATAATTTGTTGTAAAATGTATAGCTGAGCCTTGTATGGTATATTATACATTAGTCCTGATTCTAGGGATTCATGGAGATCAAATCCAAGCCCCTGTAGACCCTTGACTTCCGAGTCAAATATGTGTTGCACTTCATTAAGGGTTGTTGAATCTGGAACAAAGTCCCAGAGGTAGGTGTCTGCATAGAGGTAGAGCTTTGGCCTCTTTCTTCTCTGTAGTGCGATTGCACTTCCATATTTATACACGTCGAGCAGGAAAGAATACATAGAGCTCTTCCGAGTGAATATAAGAATTCCTTCAATCTTGTCAGCGTATTCACAATGGTCTCGGAAGAAAATGTTGCCATCATTGATACAAAGAAAGTCCACGTCGTCGAAATGACCCATGTCCTTTCCAAAAATAGTAACCATATTAATGACTCTTTGTGCCACGCCCTTACCATATATAGCCATATGACTAATCCATTGTCTAATTCTGATTTACTATTGGCTGTTTATCAACCAATACGTTTTATTTTTAGGGGCATATATAGTGCGCTGTTGTTATGACCTCCATCAATATGGCTCAACAAATGGTGGACATTTTCGGCAGTCTTCGCGAGTCGGATGCCTGCGACTACACAATGATTGTGCATGAATATTTTGTAATGCCACAACTTCCTCGGGTGGCCTACGTTGTGCATGATGACCACATGCACATTGTCTTCTCGTCATCTCCTACGAATTCAACTAGGAGAGCAAGAAGACTGTTGGAAGAAATGCAGGTTCCAGCAGAACAGTGGGCCTCCTGCATCCGGACTAAACAGTTAGTCCGGAATATTTCTGCTCTCTTCCGCTACATGAATGGAAGAGGCACAGTTGTACGTACATGTACGTACTATGATAGGGCCGTTACTTGATCATCATCTCTGTTGAGCGTTGAGCGCACTGTTGGCCAACTCCTAACACACTTAGTTCCAGCTTTAATATGGAATGGTAACAAGTTCAATGGGTAGGCATGAAGGTCTGTCGGGGGTGAACATGAGGGAAAAATAGGTCACAGTGTAAGTACAGGTAGCTAATGTGAAAGCAATTTCTTGGTACCACGTCGTCCATCACCAATCTAGTCATATTATTACTTGGTTTCAATTAAACTGGAATTAACAGACGATTTGCCCATTGTCAAACCGTAAGCTACGTTTTATCGAATGCATAAATGACATACTATCTTTGAAATGCGGGGTGTGTGATAGACTTACCTCCACGTGGTGCAACCTGGGCAACATATACTTATAGGGCAAAAAGGTCTATTGATCGGCAGTTGACTTCTGACTTCAAACTACTATGGCCTGACTATTTGTCATATTCGACCCCTTTCACAGTACTCGTCTTACCTTTTTATGCCTTCGTGTCTGCCTGTCTGTCTATTTTACATCTGTGAATCACTCTTCTGTTCCCCCTTTGACGTTCCTTCTCCTCTCTCTGAAGCCCGAAGTCAGCTCCAGGGCTAATGATAACTATCAAAACACCTGCCATTGGATATAATTAAATCTTTGAAATGCATTATCACATCCTCAAGTTCATTTAATACATGCTCATATTTCATTGTTTTATATTAAAACCTATTGTCCTCTAATAGACATTGATGATGTGAATCACTAATTTTGGACAGTCTGACTTCGTTTTTCTTACCTTTACTCCACCAAATTAATTCTTTGTATTGTTTGAAGACAATAATTGAACAGAGACACAAATGGCCAAAGCCGCGCCAGAGGGAGGGGGACGGATAAATAACCTCTTTTATTAATCATTGCGATTAATAAACAATAATTAGTGTGCAATTACGAAAAATCAGCAACGCCTGAATTTGTCCAACTCCACATCCCACTTTGGACACGTGGGCGTCACATCTTTGCACGAATCCATACAGAATGGTATTAGGCAACGTCCGAAGCTCCCACTAGAACGTTAATTAACGAGGGGGTGTGCGATAAACTTACCTCCACGTCGTACACCCTGGACAACGTATTCTCGTACGGCGAAAAAATCTGCTAACTGACAGTTGACTTCTCACTTTAAACTACCATGACACCACTCTATGTCATATTCACACCACTTCCACATAACTCCCCTTACCATACTTCGTCCTTTGTGTCTATCTGTTTTACATTTTTGAAGCACTGTTCTGTTCTCCCCCCCCCCATTCGGATTTTTTTACTTTGATGTTCCTTCCCCACTGTGAGGCCTGAAGTCAACTAAAGGACTAATGATAACTATCAAAATGCCTGCCCCCTTGATATAAATAAATGCTAATATTAATATTATTATTACTATTTAAGTAGTAAATTATTTTTAAATATTAATTTTGATATCTAAGCAAAATTGTCATTAAACTAATTCCCAGGCAAATTAAATGTCAATAACAATTTGACAAAAAAAATAGTTGAAATACCTTACTGACCAAGACAAAATAAATCGATAAATCAATTAGGTGTAAATTACGTCGGCCGCCATCTTACTTGCCGTATCAATAACTGATATGTAGCAATTTCACCTCAGAGTGTTTTTAATTCTGTAAACCGCTAGCTGCTTCTGCTAATTGTCTTATTAGTTCACTTTTAAAAAAGCTGTAAACCACGTTAGATATCCAATAATTTCCAATTTTTCTTGCAGTTTCGATCTACTTGTCTCGTGTTTCTGATGAAATCTGCAGGAAACGCACGCATAGCGTGGAAAGCGTTTAGTTGGACTGCACGTGTCAGACACAGAGCTTAGTCATTAAATTGCAATTAAGGCATTGTTAAACAAAGCGGCTACTTTCGATTGGCAGGGAAAAATTTTATTCAATTTTGCTTACTGACTTAAAAGTACTTAAAGATTATGGCATTAGATTCTCAATTTATTAAGTTGTCATGTATATGTAATAAAAATTACGAGGTATCAAAAATTTGGGGAGGTCAATCTTGCAATGAGGAAGTTAATAATTAATTTGGTTTTTAAAAGCAAAAATTGGGTGAGAAAATTATCCATTCCTTAAATCAAATCGAGAGACCAAAAAATCCGTGCACTCATGGAAAGAGCGAATAAATTACATTGGAGAAAAGATAAATTAAAAGAAAATCAAAATCCCAAAAAAATAAATTTCAAGCTCTCCACTTTTACTTGAATACGTCAGTATTGTGAGATAAAGTATGACTGAAAATTTTAAATGAACATAACTTTGTCAATTTTGGGTGTGCAATAGACTTCCCTCCACGTGGTGCAACCTGGGCAACGTATTCTCATACGGCAAAAAGTCTATTAACTGGCAGTTGACTTCTGACTTCAAACTACCATGACCCCACTGTATGTCATGTTCGACTACTTCCACAATACTCACCTCACCTTTTCTCACAGGGTTAGCAGTAAAAATCCCAACAGAATATGAAACAACAGGCGACTAATGAATGCAATACTTATCTTGACACAAGAGAGAAGAAGCAAATCAGTTGAAGCAAAATTTTAACAGTCAACTTGTCTTTGATACAACAATGAGCACATACTCCTTCCCACGGAGTTATTAACCACTGACCCCTGATCTTAGAACTAGTTTCTACTAAATTGATCTTCTTAAGGAGGGTACAAGAATCTAGAAGTGTTTGAAAGGCAGAAATTTGGATACAAAAACATTCAGGAGTAGTGAGAGAGGGAGAGAGCAACATTTTCTTATCGAACTGCCATCTTGCAGTCCCCAGGAACAAATATTTTTGCGAATTAAGAAAGTGGCTAATTGGGGATGACGCGGATTGAACGTTTAAAGCTACGATTTAACCCTCTCATCCAAAATGCATATGCTAAAAAGGACAAGAAATTAGGTGAAGAGCATTGTCACACTTCGAGCAACTATCAACCCAATCAGAGCCAACCAGCGTATTTCAACGTCACGACTCATTAGACTGGTTTACCTTAGTCATCCATTAAAGAAATTGGTTACACAATTCTCTGTCTGTATTTTAACCAAGCCAATGCATTCCACTACTGCCCCCCAGACAGTCTAGAAATTGAAAGCAACGAAGAACTGAAAGCGCTATCCCAATTTGTAGCCTTATTTACGACGCACTTGGAAAGCTATATTGGCATTTAATTATTCCAGATCATCTTCTGCTTGGTTTGAGCACACTTGAACACTTCACAGTCTGAATTCTACTGTTCCGAGACCAATGCACCTTGGATTTCAAAGTTGGGGAAGTGTGGAAAGTGTGTCGGCAGAAGAGATCCATTCACGATGCGATGCGATGAGTTGAGTTGAGTTGTTTACCACTTGACTGCTGGAACAGAGCAGACTTGAGCTGACATATGTGTGCAAGACAGACTCATTAATGCACAATGATGGCCTTCCATCAGTTAGAAGAATAGTGAGGTGAAGTTGTTAGGCGGGAAACGTTCACTCAATTTTTTTAACTTTGATATTTCTTCCCTTCTGTGAAGCCCGAAGTCAACTAAAGAACTATCAAAACGCCTGCCATTTGATATATATATATATATATATATGTGTGTGTGTGTGTTTGTGTGTGTGTTTGCACTATTTAGACGAGTGACTGCATCCTGTTCTCTCCACACTCTCTGAAATGAAATTTCGGCATTTGGAAGACATCAGGGGAACTAAACACTTTTGAGAAAAACTGCAAGTTGATATTGTGCAACTTTACTTAAAGTAGGAGAAGAAATTGCTCTGATAAAAGGCCTTATAGCAGTAGGAATTGTAGAGATGGGGACTTCTACATTAAGAATTGCTTTTTACCGTGTGATGCTCACAGTCGAGAGTTTTTCTCCTGTTCGTCTTTCTAATATGGAGACGGAAAAAATGCTACCGATTTTTTTTTGTGTGAAACAGTGAGGCATTATTTCGGCTCCTTCTTTCCAATCTGACTTTACACCGAGGTCGTAGAATCTCATCTGAAGTCAACAATCAGTGTGTCATGGAAGGTTGGGAACTAATGGCAAGAAGACAATGGAAAGAGTACAGTATTTCACAATTTGTGGATTATGTCGCTTTGCGAATTTGACAGATTACAGATGAGGAGGTGGTGGGTGGGGGGAGGTGAGTGGGCGGTTATTTACCCCTTGTCCACCAAACGTTGATCTCCCAGTTTTATCGCGTTCATATTTGTAAAGCAGGTCTTGGTAACACACCGACAAAAATGCTCAAAACTATGAAGTGTAGGCGTAGTCACAAAGACGCCCAGTGGCCTTCGTTGGTCCCGAAAGCTTGACGATTCATTTGACAACACCTTCACGTAAGGTTACAATGATGACAATTACACTTTTTTGTGCTTAATTAGTGAGATGTTTTGGCTTAGCCACATTTCTGTCTTATCTCTCCCTCTTGGACTGAGGCGATTGTGCCCTTGAAGTGCCCGGTGAACACGCAGAGCTTAGCTAAGGAGTAATGGGATTAACTTATTTAAATTTATTTAGTTCGGCTTTAGTCTGTTGACCTATTGGGACACACTCATTTGATTCCACGCTCTGAGTGTTATCTGAAGTGTTCATTTCATGGTGTTATTGGGACAAAATAAAATCAAAAAATATTATAAATATCAATAAAGGTATGCTATTTACCTCCATCTGAATTTTAATAACAAACAATTGGCAATATATTGGGGTCCTTTGCCGAAGGCGCCTCCAATGAAATATGCAACAGTAGACGTCTGACTTCCACAACTACTTCAATGGGATCAACGGCAGCATTCGAGGATTTTGAGAGTTCCGCGTGATGAAATGTACTCTCCCAATCTGAAAGAAAGTGGAAAAGGGGAAGAAGTTTCTACAGAAGTGGAAAATCCTTCAACCTCTTCAAAAAAGAGCAACTCCGAAATGTAGCCGATATTCAGAAATAGCCAAGATCAAGATATTCAAAAGATCTATTCAGTAGTATTTT